TATATATATATATATATATATATATATATATATATATATATATATATGTGAATGAAACTCACAGAAACTTAAGATTGCTGGAAAAGAAAATAGTTTCTGTAGTTCTTTTATCACAGGAATCTGTATCTGAGTGAATCCACTGAACTATCTACGTTAACCGCTGTGTGCCCGTTGGAGGGCCCGGCCCCCTCCATATCATAGTATAGGCCTTTTTGTCATATTACGGTCACACGTTAAGATAGCAGGCCAGGTGTCAGGGGGGTTACCGGATGAGTCAAGATGACAAACTGCTTCTTCCACACTCAGTTCTTAATCACATTTCAGGGTACTTTACATCAGGCCTGATTTTCAGCCCTGTTCACATGTTCAGTGAAACCCATGAACATGTGTCACAAGACAAAGGAAAGAGCACCTTCACAAACCCCGGAGGCGGAAGACACGCAAGGGCCCTCCACAGGGTGACTAAGGAGGCACTGATGCAGGTTCTGCCCCTCAAAACAGCAGCTGAAGGAGTAGCATCTGGAAGCTGGTCTAACACTACTGAGCCCTCCGGTCCAGGATCGAGGGGCTCCACTTTCTCCTCCAGCATATTTCAGAAGGCAGTGGAGAGCACGTGGGGGCCAGGGGACAGTTGCTTTTGCCTGTCTTTTCCCTTTTAAAGACAAAAACGCTCTCAGCTACATACTCAAAAGCTTCCTCAGGCCTAAGAGATCTGTACATGTGGCAATTTAAAAACAGCAGGAGGCCTGTAGTGTTCTTACTTACCAGAGTCCAAATGTGACTTGGGCACAGACCCATCCTGGAATGAATGGCGAGCAGTGAGCCTGCCGAGCTTGGGAAAGAAAGCAGAGCCTCTAAGCCAGCTTTTTAAGGGGCCCATGGGACCATTGTTCACTTCAACCCCAGCACTGCTGAAATCAATTTGTTCCATCATCCTTCCAGCATTATGGTCAAAGAACTGTAGGGCTAGTCTGTTCAGGGCAGAAGGCCATGGGCTGATCCTGGGGGCCTGGGAACCTCAGTGCCAGTTGGTGCCATTTGCTTTTCTAGCCCCTTCCTGCATGACCCTACAGGCATGAGGAGGCACAACCCAAGAGGGTTGTGGGCCCTTGGGCCACAGTGCTGGCAGCTGGGTGGCTTCTCAGTTCCTCCACCAGCCGACATAGCAATACACCTGGAAGGGAATGGCACTGGGTTTGCTGGCAGTTGTTGCTGTTTCCCAAGGTAAACAAACCAACATGCATGGTTGCTGTGAATTGTGAGAGAAAAAAACACAAAGCCCAAGTGTTGGCTGGGTCTAAAGCAGCACCCTGACAGGTGCCCCTGCACTGGCCTCACCCTGCACTGAGTGCTCTGAGCCCGCCCACTGGCTAAAGGAGTGGGCTCCTCAGGCCCCCTTCCACAGGGTCTTGGTTAAACCCTGGCTAAGTTCACATCACTTAGTGAGAACTGGGGGCTTTCCAGAACACCAGAGAGACACTGCCTGCCGTGGGAAGTTGGCACATTATCTCCACAGAGCCCCTATGAAAACACACACCACCCAGAGAAGAGAACACACTCCTGTTAGTGCACCATCAAGACGTGGTCCTGATGATGCGAGGGCTGAAGGAGCCCTCACTCCCAGACCACATCTCTTTCAAGGTGAAAAGGAGGCTCCCCAAACGCACTCCCACTCCCACCAGTCTGCCGTGAACTCTGGAACTTACATCAGCAGTCTTCCTCCCAGTCTGAACGAGCTCCTCACACCTCTCTGCTCAGCCCATCTCCCCTCCTCGTCATTCTCACCTGATTCCTTGCCTCCACTTCCACTGAGATGATTGAAGCCATCAGAAAGGAACTTCAGATTCCCATGCCTCATCTACCCTCTTATCCCACCTGCACCCACACCCTCCATCCTCCATTGCCCCATGGATGGCCATCCCTGCCCGTCCACCATCTTCCTGCGCCACTAGATCCCACCTCCCGCTTGGGCCTCTTGGGCTCCCCTTCTCACACACCACCATTACCCGCTCCGTGTCCCCGTTTCCATCTGCAGAAGCAGGCTGCTGGTTCTGACCTTCACTTTCCCTTTCATTTTCTCTACTATATCCCAGCTTCCCTTGAAACAAAACTTCCAGAAAGCTGCCTGTACTTGCTGCTCCAATTCCTCTCTGTTCTCTCTCAAACACACTCCAGTAGGTCATTCCCACCACTGCACCATGACCTGCTCTTTTCAAGGACACCAGTAACCTCCTCCTTTAAAACCCAACCGTCAGTTCTCAGTTATTTCCCAAACCAAAATTCATCAAGAATTTCAATCATCTTACTGAATATCATTCTAAAAAGGAATACCAATAATGTCCACAAGATGGTACTGTCGCAGACCTGCTTCCCTGAACTCAGTGAGCTTGAAATGTGTATAATTGTGTAACTGATGCCCTCTGCTGACTTTGCTTTTCTTGTCCTGGAGACTGGCTGGTAAAGTGTGAATGATGGCTTCATGTGCATCCTTGCATGTGCTCCTTGTGAATCTCTAAATTAAGAACAGGCACTGTGTGACAGGAAAGAGCTAAAAAAGACAGCAGGCACCTTCATGCACCCCACTGAGGAACTACTCTTGAAACTGGTTAAAATTTGGGGAACTTTCAGCTAATATGGATGCAGTTGCACAGGTCTGAGTCCCTTCTGTCCCATCACCAGTGCTGCTGGGTCTGTGAAAGCAATCTAAGTGACCTCTGGGAAACCACCCATTTTTATCCCGAAATATTCATCTATTTAAAAAAAAAAAAATCAGAAAAAGAATTTGAGATGACACCGCTGAAGAAACTAGTTCCAAATCCTGTTCAATTCATTTTTGAGAAATCTTAGGTTAAGAAAAATAGAAACATTTATTCTTAGGATAACACCTCCCTGATGAAAATTCTGAATTGAAATGAATTTCCAGCCAAAAGGGGCCAGTACAGGAACTACCTCAGGAAGAACCAGCTCTTCTGTGGGCACCTGATGCACTTTGCTTCTGGCCTCTGCCCAGTTCCCCTGCACATCAACTTAGTAACAATAACACAGGCAGAGCACGCCTTACACAAAATGCTTGGGACTAGAAGCATTTGGGGTTCTGATATTTTCACATTTTGGAATATTTACATAAGATCTTGGCATGGGAGCCAAGTCTAACCATGAAATTAGTCTCACATATACCTTATACACATAGTTAGGCAATTTCATACATTTTAAAATAATTTTGTCTGTGCAACAGTTTCATGGTATAGGATTTTCCACCAGGGCATAACGTTGGTACTCAAAACATTTCAGACTTTGGAGCATTTTGGATTTCTGGACTAGGGATGCTCAAGCTGCAACTAACACTAACATAGTATTTGTGTTAGGCATTCTTCAAAACACTTTGTATAGCTTCATCACTTCTAGAGATCTTTCATTCACATTTTACAACTGAAAACTGAGACACACAACAATTACATAATGAATCCAATATCTGATCCCTCACTACTTCCTTGGACAAGCTGTACTGATCCCCACTGCCTGCAACACAGCGCTCAGATGACTGACTATTCACAGACCCTCAATCACTATTCAAGCTTCCCATGCTTTTCCCCAAAGCTCCCCACCACCATTCTCTGACCCTAAACACCCATAACTCTCCATCTCTGCACCTGTGCAAATAACAGATATAGCAAAGAAGTAGTCACATTTTGCCTGCAAATGAATTTTTTGGCCCAGTTAGTTTAAATTAGAGATGGATTTTACAAATCAGACTTCATATTAAAAATCAGATTTACAGCTATTGAGATTTCATTGAAAATTTTATCTGGAATTCTGAAGTCTCAAGAAAAGCCCAACTGAGCAGAAACAATCAGTTGGAACAGAGTGGCAGTCACCCTCCTGGGACAGGGCTTGCATTCTCCAGTTTTCCACTGTCACTCACGTTACTTATCTGGCCCCAAAAGACCTTTGCCACACTTCCCTAAACCACCCTTTGCCTAACTAAATCCCACCCACCCTCCAAGACGAAGTTTAAATGACTCCACTGCTGATAAATGTCTCCAATTCCAGATAAATTTCTCTCTAGCCTCTTCTGAATTCCCCTAACATTCTTCATGTGCCTTATGGCAATCTCACCCTCCCTTATTAGTACTATACATGCCTTACCTAGAACTAAGTAGACACTCTGAATCAAGGGTAATGACCACTTCTGTGATCTTGGGCAACAAATCTGAACACAAGTCCTAGGATTTGAGCTCTAGAAAAATAAAAGCCTACATGAGTACCCTGAAAAAGCTAAGAGAAGTATCTTTACCAAACATACATTTTATTCTCTCTTCACACCCCCTTTGCCTTCTGCTTTCAGAAAAGTCATGAGACAACTTGATGGATGTGTTGTTTTTTAATACAGACCACATCATCTGTTATGGTGAATGATAGATGAGAGGCAATAATTCAAGAGGGCACCAGAAAGCTTTTAATCATAAAATGACACCTTCACCACCCAAGCCTTTGTCAATTTTTTCTTCTGTTATCTCATCCACATCAGCCTGCTGCTTCCAGAAGGGCTCTGCCTTCCAATTTTATGCTGGTTAGGATGCCAGTCTATCACTTTGCCTTAACAGTGTAATGGGGTCCCTAACTTAGCTGAGGAACCTGGACAAGTCTTCTTTGATTTCAGCTTCATCCCAAGGCCCATGAATGTTCTCTTTAAAAAGCTGCAGGCGAATGAGATAGAAAGGGCAGAGACAGGAGATGGAAACCAACAGAAGAGCGAAGAGTATGGCTCCCACTGCACTAATGGAGAGCAGGCCTCCCAGGGCTGAGAAGGCAAAAAGCACTGTGACCCCCACATAGCTACGGGGAGTACAGGCCTTCAGTTTCTTCTGTAACATGGGCCACAGTGCAAAAATCTGGATGGCAAACGTCACCATGACGAAGGCATGCACCGACCGGGGAAGACGTGAGGCCAGGCAGACAGAAGCAAAGATGGCCATGTTCAAGGACAGTGTGCTGGATACAATAGCGGCATTGGCTCCATAGTCAAAGAAGATGAGGTGGCCCAACAGCATGAAGACTGACATGGCATAGATGGTGTCGGTGCTAACGGACTCTGTCAGGGTCTTCAGCACTGGTGAAAAACCGTAAGTGAAAGCAACGAAGACTAGGGCACTCTTCAGGTCAGCCCATCGGGTCCGGCCGCTCTTTTTCCGCCCTTCACCACCATCAATGAGATCAAACAAAACATATCCCATCAATGAAGATGCCAGGCCAGTTCCAAAGAGCCAGTGGGGGGCCAAAAGACCCTCATCCATATACCACCAGATGACCACAAAAACACAGACGCTGCACAGCTGTTGTATCACCACACTGGACTCAAATACCACAGCCCAATATTGGTATTTTCGGGCATAGATGTTTTTCCGGAGCTCTTCCAGGAACCGCCGGTCCACATAGTTATCAGGGAAGGGCTGCCGCTCATACAAGACCTTCTGCCACTTGGCCTCCTTGGTGCTAGTTATAGATTGGGCACACATTATCTTCTCCTTTCCCTTAAACTCAGGCCAGTTCAATCTCCCTCAAGTAAGCCCATGTGGTTTTCCTTTTTTTTGAAATAAGACTTCTCTGGAAATTCCATGCCGTTATCTACCCACCTTTCCTTGTTTTCAAAGGCAGCAACCCAGGCTAGGCCCACAATGGATGCAGTTGTTCTCTGAGGCAAGACAACACAGACAAACTCCTAGAAAAAGAGACCTGTGAAAATATGAAAGTTGTCAAAGGTCAGAGTAGAACTGAGACGAAAATTAAACCAACTCGGGTTACTACAAGTCTACATAAAATGAATGTGGTGGCCATTTTATAATCTGGGATATTAAAACTTCACTTCCAATTTTTAAACTATAATTCCTTGAACAATATATACCTGCTAGCCATTACTTGGAGTGTCTACTGTGCTAAATGCCTAGGCACTTTTACTTAATCTTCTCAAGGTATTGGTCCCGTTTTTTAGTAAAACAGAGGAGATCCAAATTGCTTGGGCATTTCTGGCCCAGACTGACAAGACTGCAACCAAAGTCTGATCTGCGCCTCACCCCATCGTCTCCCTCTACACCAGTCTTAACCCAAAGGTCCCCTACCCAGGTGAGCGCCACTGCAGGCCTGCATATGCAATTTATGCAAATTAACAGGGACAGAGCCCACAGCTCTCACTGGGTTCGCAGGGGCACCCACTCCAGGCTGCACACGGGAAGAGGGACGCGCTCCCAGGGTGAGAGCCAGGCCCAAGGCCGCCAAGAAGCCAGAACCTAACGGGGCGCACCTCCCTCTGGAGGGCCATCATCCCCGCTCGGCAGCGGGACCCTGAGGCTCCAGGAAGACCCTCAGTGACCCCGGGACGCTCGGGCAGCACCAGTGTCCTCAGCAAACCCCAGAGGAGCGCTCGCTGCCCGACCTCACGCCTTCCGCGCGGACCACGCAGGTATCGCCGGGCACGCCCCCCTCACCGCAGCGGGGCCGAGGGGTCCGCAGAGCCGCGCAGGGGTCGGGAAGGGATGTCCCCGGGGGCGCCTCGCTCACCGCCGGGCCACCCCCGTCTGGGGCCTGCAGGGGACCGCAGAGCAAGAGGAACGAAACACTGACGCGCGCACGGAACCCACCTGCCTTCGAGTTCCTAGGGTGCACGGCCGAAGCGGGCGGCCGCCCACCGACTTCCCCTTCCGGGGAGCCGCCTAGGGCTGCGGCGAGCACTTCCGGGTCCCGTCGGTCCACGGCAAGAGCTCCCCGCGCCGCGCCACGTCACGCCACGCCACGCCGCGTGAGGCCGCTGCTGCCCCCTACTGGCTGCTCCTCTTTGGAGACCGGTCGGAGGCCGAAAGGGCCGGCCTTGGAAGGGCGAATCCCAGCCCAGTGCAAGAGAGAATGACCGGCCCTGGCACAGGGACTTCCCGCGCATCCATGCCTGTCGTGACAGACCTCCAGTACCTTTGGTGCTTGGGATGCCGCAGTGATCGGCACAGATAAAAATCCCCGCTCCCATGGAGCTTGCTTCCTTGTTCACTGACCTTTGCGGTGGAGATATCGTGGGAAAGGTTTTAACTGTCTAAAGCCTGGCTGAGGTCAGTAAGGCCCAGTTGTAGGGGCTCTCCCCTAAGCTTGGCCTTCTGAAGGGTGAGGACAGAGAGTCCTGCGTCCGAAAACACAGCCAGAGGCTTGGGCAGGAGATTGCTCATATTCAGCCGACTTCTTGGAAGGGCTAAGGGATTCACAAACAGATGGGAGTAGGAAGGAAGCCAAGGCAGACAGCCGCACCCAGGGCAGAGTGGACAGGGAGGTCAGAAAACACGATCCCATTGGTAGCTGCAGTTCACACTATCTGAGCTTTGACTTCTTCATCTGAAAAATGGAGATAGCACTTATTTGCTCTTTTACTTTATGGGATGGTTGAGAGTCAAATACAAAATATAAAAATGTCTTGTAAACTGTGGACTGCTACATGGCCACTACTAGCTTACTCTGGTCATTGTTAGGACAACAGTGGTCAACTGATAAACTGCAAAATGATCTCTTTTTGTTCCTCTTTAGGTTTCTGTTCCAAAATTTGATAAGGTTCCTTGGCTTAATGAGACCAGCCACATGAACAAGCCATTAGTTCTCAGCCTCCCCAAAAGGTAATTCCTCAACTGAGGCAAAGCTTTCCTGAAAGTTCTCGTGGGAGAAGTTTTCTTAAGGGAGAGGGTATTGGAGGGATACATCTGCTCAGTCCAGAAACCAAGTCAAGTGCTCAACAACCAGAAATGTCCTGGGTTTCTCAGGCAAAAGTGAAGTCTGGGTAGAAGCCTGAGTGGAGGAGATGAGACCCGGAACAACTTCTTCTCTACCACCACACTCAACAGTGCAAGAGAAGTGTACCCCTAGTCACCACCTCTCAAAACACTCCCACCTGCCTCATTGCCCCTACCTTCTCCTCTGCATTAGTTTGAAATTTTCAGATTTTAACCCTCAGAAGTCTAGAACTACGGTTTCCCATCTTTTTACAGTAGCAGCTGCCTGTATTTAACTGTCAGGCTCTCCTCCCACCTCCTTAGCCCTACCTCTTCTAATCAAACTAATATAGAACACATATTTGTGTTTTGCAACATTGGGGGAATTTGTGTGTAGGGAGAATTTCAGCTTCTACTTGAAATAACTGGGATTCCTCATTCTTCCCTCATTTTTGCTACAATAGTTCCTAGTCATGGGTTCCAGCCCTGCTCTGGGGAAATGGAAGGGTAGTGTGAAATGATGTAGAGTAAATGAGAGAAAGCAGGGAAAGGCAGCCCAGAGGCAATTTCATATGCACATTATAGACTGAACAGGGCTGGCTCCCTGGCATGGAAGCAGCTGGCTAGAAAGAGCATATTGTCTGAAAAGAAAATTCTCTCTTGTTGGTACATGCCGTGTGCCATCCTGCCCACAGATAAGCAACTCTCCACGAGGGACATCCTAACACTCTCTCCACATTCCAACTTCAATAGCATGTGCCTTTGCTTTGCTTCACTTTAAAACACCACATTCTTAGTAAGCAGTTAGGCAGTTTCATGTATTTTCAAAGTGTATGAGTGTGTATCGTTTATGTCTGTTATTTTTACATAACTTCAAATATATAAAAATAGGCAATCAAAAGTTCAGTTAATCCAAAGGCTTGCTTTAGGAAATAAAAGTCCTATGTAATATAGTTCTTATTAAGGGTCAGCATGAGTGATGGCAGTTTAGCATCTTTCAGTTGGGGATGGGGCACAAATCATATGCTCACAGTCAGGGGGATGGCATAATGAGTAGAACTGGCCAATGAAGGTTGCAATGAAAAGGGGATCATCTCCTGACCAAAGTGACAGCCTGCCCTCTATCCCTTCAGTGTCACCTGCAGGTATGTGAGTCCAGTGACCAAATCTACTGGTTATTCTAAGTAGAAATTTAGATTTTTTAAAATGTGAAGCTGCTAGTGTTCGACATCTAATAGGCTAACCTCCCACCACCCCACGCTACCCCCATGCCTGTCAGACCTGTCCCTGCAGCCGGGAGCAAAGCACACCAATGTCTGCTTCTCCTGCCACCAGCTCCCTTGTTTTCTGATTATACAAGCCTTCAGGAGAAGGTAGGGACAGGGCAGGGTGGGCCTTGAGAAAGGCAGGCCCAGAACACAACTGGGCCTTCTCAGCACCTGTTTATTTTCACAGCCAAGTCCTGGAGTGTCCGAGAGGACAGTTTATCAACAGCCAAAAGCTGGGAAGGGAGGGGCGGTTTTTCCTCCCGATGGCCAAACAAGCTAGCAGCAAGGAGAAATTCCCCACGGTAGGCAGCAAAACTCTGCTCATGTCTATGCTGGGGGGCCTGGGTAGCAATTTCAGCCTCTGTTTGGAGAAAGAGAGCCTCCTCACTTCACGGGGATTCTAAGATGATGGACAGCACCTGTGGGTTTCCCCAAGCTCTCAGGAGGCAAGACGGGAATGCAGAACCTGTGGAAGGGGAAAGGACAGGTGAGGCGTCACCAGTTCTTAAGGGTTTTAAACTCCTCGTCTGTTCAAAGCTCTAGGTTCCAAACTGTTTATTTTGGGCAAAAGTCTTTTCTTAGGCCTTGGGAGACAGTTCTCCATGTGCCCTGAGTACTACATAGTCTTGGGCAAGCAGTCCCAACAGAATGGTCTGAAAAAGATAAAAGAACATTTAGTGAAGTGTGCTCGTGGCACGCCCCCACTGAGCTCTGGAAAGACCGAGGCTTTGGAGGAGGTAGGGCCAGGCTCTGGTGGGAAGCACCTAACCAGACCTCCTTCCTTCCAAGGACTCTCCCAGGCTGGCCTGACTCTGATGAAGCCACACTCAGCCTTCGAAGCCCCTGAGGTCACACTGAGGTGGTTTGTGTGAGTTTATTGCATGCCTGAGCAATTCTAAACTGGCCTTCCTGGACAGCTTTTGGGTGACAAGTTCAAGGCAGCCTATTCCCATATCTAAGACAAAGTACAAAAAGAGCTCAAGTCAGACCCACCTCCAGAGTCTCACAGGTCCCAGGGAAGTGGAGAGGAGAAATGAAACAGTAGATGCTTCATGAACCTCAAACTCTTCCTACATGCCTTTGCTTTAAATGAACAATGAAATCTTTTCTCATTAGAGAGGAGAGACATTCTTGGCAAAACTACAGCATTCCAAGTTCCCATTTCTTGGATGCCAAGGACAGGCACAGGGCTGCACAAAGGACAGTTGGTGATTGCCAGCCCCACCCCTAGGCATTGGCTCCTCATCCTGTGATAAAATGAATTTCAGTAGCAAGCGAGGTGGGTCACCCTGTGAAGAGAATTGGTGTTGCCACTAGCATCCCTGTGTAACTTGCTAACTGGAAAGAATGTTCCAGAGGAAGAGGGGTTGGAGGGAGATGTTCAGTGAGAGGAAGCAAGTCAATGATCTCAGCCTAGAGACATAATCTCCAGGAAATCAGGCCGGGCACGAAAGGACCAGCACTTGTTCAATGCAGAAAACATTAAAGCAGACTTTTCCAGGAGACCTGGGGTGCATTTCACTCCTTTCCTTTCTGCTTTTATGAATAACCTTTTTCCTGCCTTATTTGTACACTGTCTGACAATCTAGAACTATCACTGGTTACTTCAAAACAAAGGGACAGAGCAGCCAAAGCGCCTTAGGGGACAGAGCTGTCTTCTGGGCGCTCCTTCCTGGGCAGGATGCTCCAGAATCAGAGTGGGAAACCACTCCAGAGGTGTCCCAGTGTCCTCTCTGAAACAACCAAGGGCCTGGCTCTGCAAACCATTGACTGCCCTTCTAACTTTGTCTTGTTTTGTTTCCTTAGATCTGCGCATCCCTTTACTACTTTTCTGGCTTCCACCTGGAAGGATGAAGGTTTGCCAGTTTTGTTTCAAGTTCCGGATGTCTCATCGAAGGTATCCATATTTTTAAAATTGAAATGAAACCAGCAGCAGTTCTAGAATATCATGGAATGTGGAAATATTTCCTATCGCCTTAGCACAGTGCTGTACCTGGGACATTATCAGGGTTCAGTCGACACTTGCAGAACAAATGGGTACCACCTGTCACCCTGTCCCAAGTGCTTTTAGCACCCAGTCCACCAGAACTGAGAATAAAGAAATAGGTTGGAAACATCAACAAAAAGAAACCAGAATAAATATGGAGGGACCTGCCCAAAGGTCCTCAGGGGCTGCCTCTCGGCCTGCACCTGCACGGATCCTGAGTCTCTAACCACTCACCCCAAACAAGTCTCTATGGAGTTTTACCTGGGAAATTCCTCCTTTTCCCTCCACCTCACAGAAATCAATCGTGGCTGCTGGGGGCACTGTACAGCACCTGGGGGCAGTGGTACTGGGGACGTGGGGGCAGCACCTCCTGAGGTGAAGAGGCGACATTTAACGCTGAAAGCAGTTCCTTCTGAAAACCGGCTGGGCCCCGCAGGCCCTTGCAGGCGGTGTGCGCAGTGTTCCCTCCAGTTCACCTGACCCACCCGGTGCCCAGCGCGCAGTGAGGCGCGGTAGAGGTGGGCCATGATCAAGAGGAGCCCCTGGCTTTGGTCAATAGTGCTTAATACGGACGGAGGTGGCGACCAGCGGTGGGCCACCTGAGAGGGCGGCGGGGCAGGTGCGAGAGCGGTGCCCCAGCGGGGAAGGTGGGAGGAGAAGGCACCTCCAGGTGGGGAGGCTGAGCCGAGATGCAGGGGGCGTGGCGAGGGGGCTCTGCGCGGATCTGTTTTAACCAGTGAGGGAAGAGCCAGGGCGGAGGAAGGGCGAAGAGACTCGGAGGTGAAGGGAAGGGGACCAGCGCCCAGAGCTCCGGAAATGCTTGGGGGACGCCATCGAGCCGCGCGTGCAGGGAGGCCGGGGCAGGTGAGCCCAGCACGGGCAGAGACCCGAAGGCCATCGCGAGCAGCGAGAACCCACGCTGTGCCTTAGGGTCACCTCGTTAGTCCCGCAGCAACCTGGACAGGCAAGAGGGACATGTGCTGGGCCAGGGGCCAAGCGAGGAGGGACGGCTGGCTGGGCGCTGCTGCAGAAACTGCCAGAAGGTTTCTAGTCACCCAGCCCTAAACGTCCCTAAACGTCTCTGCCGCTTGTCCAGGCGTGCCCAGGTCCCGGCGCAGCGCAGGAGCCCAGGCGCTCAGACCCCTGGGCTCCTGCAGAGGGCGGGGCGCGGGCAAGCTCCCTACGCTGGCAGTACTCACAGCTGGCCACGAGGCGGCAGTCAAGAGCAGCTGCTTGGCCAGTAGGCTGCGTGGGAGGCCCCCAAGTCACCCCTGCTGAGCCAGCTAGGTGCCTCGCCCGCACCCCCTAACCTGGGGCTGGCCTACCACGGTTTCTGCGTGACATCACTCTTGCAGACCAGAAGAGCAAGAAGGGAACTTGGGATCCTGTTCTGTTGGGCACCGGGCAGGCGCCTAGATTAGGTCCTTACCTGTCACAGACCTCCTCGAATTTGAAGGAAGGCCCCAGAGTCTTCTGTGAGCATGAATCCCTGCCTCATGTGCTGTGAGGTCAGCACGGGCTCAGCCTGCAGTTGGTCCTTTCTAGAAAGAAACTATGCTGTGTCTCACGGAGTGAAACGCACCGTGGACGCACTCTCTTCCTTCATCCTTTGAATCAGGCACCTGGCAGAAGCCGCAGCCAGTCCTGTGTACAGGCACAAAGGTCTTGCCACCTGGCTCGCTGCCTCTTCACTGTCACCAAAGGGCAGAACTTTGAACATTTGCATTCCAAGTGGCATTCCTGCCCTGTGGCAGGGCCAGGTACAGTGTGCCCAGAGCAGCATTCCCTCAGAAACACACAGGAAACAGGCTCAGAGGCATAGCCACAGGAGGAGGGAGACAGACAGCAAGAGCGACCCCTACAGAGAGGTGGGGCGGGCAAAGACACCGAAGAGAAAAGGAGAGGCAGAGATAACAAAGAACCGTTTTGAATGAAGAGGAGAATGAAGCCTAAACATCTCCTCCTTTAAACCTTTACTGGGGAGACCTTTGTCATTAGTCACCAGGACTGATGGCACCATTAGACTTTGTCATTAGTCACCAGGACTAATGACACCATTAGACCTTTGTCATTACCTGCCATTTTCGGGCATGACTGTTGACTCCTCAGGATGCCATGAGATGGGAAGGTGTATGGTGGTAGTTGGATGCATGTGCCAGGGGGTGACTCAGCCATGCCCAGCAAGGCAAAACAGAAGCCTGTGAGTGACCTGGAGGACTGCAGGGGCCTAAAGCCCTGCTCCCACCTGCTGGGGTTGGATGTCAACTACCTAGAGCTCCTGGGAGTCCCAGCCCCCCACTCCTGCCCCACCCTCTCTGCTCCCTTTGATCAGCTCCGTTGTCCCAGCCTGATGAGTCAGAGTAAAGATGGGAGCATTTCTGTTCTGCTTTTATCAGACCTGTGACAAAACCCCTTGGCTGAAAACACCTGAGCAGCAGCAGAGGTCCACTGGGAAAGCCAGAGGACAGAGACTTCCTGCCTCACCCACTGACAGCTCGCTCTTATTTCTCTCTCACTGACTCCAGATTTTGAAAGCTCACGACCACCAAGGGAACTACCTCACATACTCCTGTCTTTATTAATCAAGCACATAATAATTACACATGCAATTTTAAAAGAGAAGTAATAACAAACACCATTGGCCTGATGGGTGAGAGTTAGGTTTGATGAGCTCGGATGGTAGGCATATGGTTGTCCACTATTGGGGTATGTTTAACGTGTTTCCTAGCGAACAGTAAGAGCATGTTGAACCTGTATTCAGCTTAATTCTTAATATGACTGGTATTTTCAGATAGGATTGAAAGGTTTATTATCACAGGATTTTTTGGAGGATTGAAGACAGTTCTTTGACCACTGCCTTTTGACTCCCTCTAAGGGGTATTGGAATAATTGTGCTTTCATATGGGGTTCTAAGAGTCGGATCCTCCTCTGGGAAAAGATAATCTCTTTGACCCTTTTATTCAAAAAACTTTCCCAGTGACAAAAACTTAATGCAGGTTATTGGACAAATCTCTTTTCTGAGCCATATTTTCCTTGTTGGATTCACCAAGAGGGTTGAACCAGATGACCTGTGAAATCTCTGTTAAGTCAGGAGGAGAAAGGAGAAAAGGACTAAAAGTGCCAACAGGCAAGAAGGACAGAGGCAAAACTTGTCAGTGTTCCTCCCATCAAGCCTGTGATGTTTATTTTTAAAGTCACCATCTGGTGCTTACATTTTCAGTTTTTGTTATGTGAACAGGTGTGTATATGAGAGAGAAGGGGAGGGAGAGGACTGTGTCTGTGTCTCTTTACCTAGGATTTAAGAAAGCCAAGGTCGTGGGCCAAGAGTCAGCTCTAGGAACCTCAGCAGATGCTGTCCCTCAGTATTGGATACTTCCAGTTGTTAAAAGTGGAGCACAGGCTTTGCCTTCTGGGGACAGGCCACAGCCCACGTCATGCCTCTGCACTCCCATTGCATCTGCTGTCTGCTGTCCTGGGAAATGAGAGCTCCGTTAATATTTCAGGGCCTCTGGCTGAGATGATATAGCCAGGGTGTTGTGCTGTGAACCTGACCAGTTCACTCTCCATCCTGCTGCTGCTGGCGCTGAGCTGGTTGAAGGAAACTAAGAGTGAGCTGGGAATGGCCAGACCTGGGCTTCAGGGATGGGAGGAAAAGGCAGAATGAGGAGCGAGACCTACAAGCCACTGCATCAGCTTCGGACTTGCCTATCATAGCTGCCTTCCCACTCCCCAGGCCCTCATCCTCCTCTCTAGAAAGGGAGGAAGTAGCTCCTCTTGGAGGTGAGGCTGAGCTGGAGTGAGCCGCAGGTCAGACTAGGTTTCACTCTACTTGTAAAATGTGAGCAGAATTGTGGCCTGCCTCTCTCTCTTTGGGCCACAGTGACAGTCACCTGAAGGGAAGAGGAGGCCCAGAGAATTTACATTGTTGACAAAGTCACTCAAGTTACTCCAAAAGCCCTGTCTGGAATGCAGCCCTTAAGATCCAGCCAGTGCCCTTCCCACGCCTTACCCAGAACAGATTGAGTACACCAGACCAGCGTCCTGAAATATCCATCTGAAAACAACATAGTGATTTTTGCACACACACTCACATGCAATCTTGGTTATGTCTTTGTTTATACCCGTTAATTTAAAGTGCTCGTAGTGACTCATTCATCACCCAGTGTTTGTTAAATACTTATTGTGTGCCAGATTCCATAGCAGGTTGTAGGAATACAAAGATGTGCAAGGCATGGTTCTTGCTCTTAAATAACTCTCAGCCTGATGGAGAAAACATTTTTTTTTTCAAGAAGTAGATGAGTACAAAATGCAAATAAAGCCACCATATCCACCTCACCATGTCTGTGATGGAATCGGAGAAGCAGGCATCCAGCTCAGGATAAGGGGCAATAAATGGCAGGAGGGGCAGGAGCTAGGTTTTCTGAAAGGAACTCTAGGCTGTTGTTAAAGAATGAGGCCTTAACAAGGCCAGAGAGGGCAACCTGCAAAGTACTTCGTCCTGCAAACTCGAGGGATGAAGTGCACGTGGCTGTGGGAGTCCACAGTCCACAGTGGCTGTGGGAGTCGTCATTAAACAGCATGGTCCTGCTGTGCACCTGGATTATCCTGCAAATATATTTGTTGTTTGGTTGCAGTGAACTCTCTGGCTCTCATCCCTGTAGGTGTAGTAGTATTCTCAGACAGAAACAGAAGTCTGGAAATGGTGAAGGAATTAATTGCAGGGAAGATGAAGGTCTACTTATAACTATAAAAACAAATGCACCAGAGGATTCTCCCACGGCCACCTCACCCTGCCCAGGTGGTCCTCGTCCTTTCAGGCCAATTGTAAATGCCATTTCTAGTAACACTTTTCTGATTCCTCCAATCCTAAGTGGTCTCCCTGCTTTCTCAGGGCCCAGAGGCAAGTTGCCACTTCTGAGATATCTAGTGCTTCCTACTTCAATGGCAGCTTCAGGGAGGTATCTTAGTGTCAGACCTCAAAACTGTGAGGGGTGGATGGAGGAGCCGAGCTGCAAGGAGTACCAGCCCCAGGGTGTCAGGGAAGACCTGGCAGGGGGTTGGATCCCTAAAGCAGAGGAGTCCATCCACACAGACTCCCCTCTCCAGTCCCCCTTCTCACCCTACTTCTTCCTCCAGATACACTGGCCACTGCACCCTGCCCTCTGGTACCCGAAGCTGGCTGACTGGGTCATGCTGTGTTTCCTGGATGGAGGCCTCCCCCTCTCCCCTGCTCACAGCCAACAAATGCCCACCTAAGCACTGCCTGTCTCGTAACCCTTCAGACCCTCCCTCTGCCCTGCTCCTAAGTGAGCGCCCACCCACTTTCAGCCTCACTGTGGTCCCCATGTGTTTCTGTCACAATACCTTCAACCCCGTCACACTTCCCGGTACACAGAGGGTGACAGCATGAGGTCAGAAGCTGTGGCTTTTGGATCTCAGGGTACTGAGTGAATTCACATTCTTCTCTTGTCCTCTTTAGGGCCGGAAACTGTCTTATTCGACCCTCTGGCCCCTGCCGCAGCCTCACATGGTGGCCTCACAGTCAGAGTTTGTTCTTGAATGGACAGATCTAGTCACCCACACGCAGACCTTAACATGCCAGCCCCCAGATTGTAACACTGAGTTGATTCTTTTAAAATATCCTATAAACATGAAGCATATTTTAAATATTTATCAAAAGAATCCAACATTGGCAAGAGTGTTCAGTCCTCAGATCCCAAGTGCCTTTTATTATTCACAGGATGAAGCTACTTGCAGGCCTGTTCAGCCACCCCCCAGTGCAGCAGGAGTGGGTCAGGCACCATGTACTGATAGCAGACAAGGCTGTGGATGAGGAGGAGAAGGCTTCAGTTAATTGTCACCCTCTGCTTGTCACTGTGGCCTCCTCTTCCCTATGTTCTATACCTTCTAGGAACCTACCACGCAACTTTCAAGTCCGTGCACGTGAGGAGGAGTAAGAGAGAAGCTCCAAACATAGCTTTAACCTCAAGTTTCCATTTCCTCCCTAACAAACCTCTTGCCAGAGACGTAAATGAGAGCTTCATGATGCAGGTGTACATGCCCCAAAATCCTGTCTCTCACCCTTTCACAGAGACCAAGTCAAAAAGAAAGGAGTGGGTGCCCTGACCAGACGGGTACCCACCGTCCTTCCAGTAGCAGCACCTTTGCTGGGCTGGAGTGGCCTCTCCAACCCAGAGAGCGAGAGGGCGGGGACGGCAGCTTCAGTCCTGTGGGTGGCTCAATGCACAGCTTTCTGGAGATGGGGCAGGTGACGCCACTGGGCCATGGATGCTTGAGAGCTGGCATTGAGCCAGAGGTGAGGCTGAGAAAAGAGGGTGCACCAGGGAGGGGCTGGTGAAAGGAGGGTGCAGAAAAGAAGCCTCCATTTGTCCTGAGAATAGGCTGTGTGCCAGTCAGCTTTTCATGGCGGTGACCAAATACCTGAGGAGCTAGAAGGGAGAAGGGTCTCTTAGGCTCCCGGCTTCAGAGGCGACATTCATGCTCCCTCGGCTACATTGATCCTGGGCTTGTGGAGAGGCTCGACATCAGGGCAGGGTGGTTTGGTGGAGCAGAGCTGCTCACCTCATGGCAGCCAGGAAATGGGGAGAGAGGAGAGGATGCTCCCACTCCCTCTAGCTGGGCCCACCTCCTGGCCTCCGCCACCTCCCAGTAGTCCATGCAACCATGAACCATCCCTCAGTGGGCTAATCATTGATGAGGTTAGAGCCACTGTTTATCCAGTCACTTTCCAGAAGCCCAGCTCTGGGTCTTGCTGCCCTGGGGACCGAGCCTCCAACATGGAGAATCTGGAGACACTCCAGATCCAAACCATAACAAGAGTCCTCAGCTGGACGTTTGGTGGAGAACCTGTGTACGTGGGGTACAGGAGCTGCCCGTAGAGAATGCAGTTCCTCAGCCACAGGGGCTCAGGTTGGAAAGGAGAGACCCCTGTGGACGCCAGCCCTCGTCTTTGGCCCCAGGTCCTGTCCTTATGCCTGCACCACTGGAGCATCCCCACAGCCACCCCCAGCCTGGGGCCACTCCCTCCTAACCTACCAAATGTGACAAACCTGAGTCAGCCATGGCCCTAGAGGGCTGAGACCAGAGTGCCTGTCTGTTTATGGAAGGAAAAGCTGTTACCTCTCTTGCCTCTCTACCCCTTTCCTACTCCCGTGTTGCCCCAGGTAACTTACCGCTCTCTGTTTCTCTTCCCCCTCAGGCCAGGAAGAACCAGCATGACCTCATGTCACTCAGACATAAGAGGCTGAGCTCCGCATGTCAAGAAAAAAAAATGGTAGGCAAGGGGTGGGGGGCAGAAATGGGCATGTGTCAAGGTGGTCCCGCAAAATGTTTAACCTTCCACATTTCAACAAGCCAGAGGTGAGCCAAGGTTGGTGGACCAGGGGAAAGAGACGAGATGATGAGGTAAACCAATTGGGCTTGTAAGTCACTGCACTCTTACAGAGGTTATGGGGCTTCTTTTCCTCTCTTCACATCTCCCAAACACCACACACACACACACACACACACACACACACACACACACAGTCCTCTTCAACCATTATAATCATGAAACAAGCAGCTTAATCTTTGGGTTTATCATGATGTAGCCAGCACCTGGGAAGAAAAGCTGGGGAGGTTCCCCAGCAGTGTCTAGCTAGTGGAGGGGTCACTTGGTACCATAACTATAGCTGGTGGTGGAGAGTGGTGGTGGGGGAGGATATCAGGAAAAAAGGACATAAAGGGGGTGTGCAGGGAGCAAGGACAAACCTCTGCCACCTGTCGGAGCTGCTAAAGAAAGAGGCCATTTCAGACGGAGGTCCCCCAGCTCAGAGTGAGGAGACCTGGGTCGATTTAAGGAGCAGGGTTAGTGTTGGGGCCAGGATGAGGCTTGAGTTGAAGGTAATTCAGCTGCCTGGCTAAGTTTAGGATAGGGGATGGGAAGATCTCTTCAATTCTGATATCGGGACTCTCCTTGGACCTGGGAAGGAGGCCGGGAGAGCTACTCATGTGGTGAGAGGGAGAGCAAGGGACGGAAGGAAAACAGGAGATTCAAGAGAGGCTCCTTCCCCAAGTTCATGGCAAAAGTGCTTCAGGCTGGCAGGACGGGAACAGAGCGGCAGTCCACAAGGGTTTTGTGTGGGAATTAGAAATGCACCTGATGCCGCTGGGGAGGCCACCTGGGAGTTGCAGTCTGTGTTGGCTTTCCCTTGGCTGGCATCACAGAGTGCAGTGTGGGCACCGCCTGGCGTCTGGACTGGAATCAATGTAGAATGTGCCAACCCCAGGCCCCTGCCAGCTTTGGCCACTGGCTCGCACGGGGCTTCCACAGCTGTCCTCTTTCTCAAGACCTCGTCCTTGACCTTTGCCCTTGCCAGCCTGACTGGAGTGGTGTCACACACCATGCTCCCACATTTGCTGCAGCTTCTGAAAGGAAGGTCTCCAGACACAGAAGTGCCCAGGCACTTGTCCCTGCTGCTGTTGGGACCTGGTGGAAGCCTCAGAGTGTTAGAAACCATGCATGAGGCACCACTGCCCCACCAAACAGTGGCTCTTCAACATCCTTCAGGGTTGGGACAGCCAAGGGGCTGTAACCAGCAGCGCCCTCCTTCCTTAGTAGTATCGGGAGGGAAAAGAAGGGAACTTCCTCAACCTAACAAGGGGGATCTTAATAGTGAAAGCCTGGATAATTTCCCCTAAGGCCAGGAACAAGGCAAGAATGTCTACACTTGCCATTTCTAGTCAATATGGTACTGTGCGTTCTACTGGGGCAATTAGGGCAAAGAAAGAGAGGAAAGTAAAACTATTTCTATTTCTGGTAACATGATCCCATATCTAGAACGTCCTGGGAACACACACACTGTTAGAGCCAATAGATAAGCACAGTAGAATTGCAGGATACAAGTTTAATTTACAAACATTGATTTGCTTCTCTATACTAACAATGAACAACCAAAGTGAAATTAAGAAAATAATCTCATTTACATTCGCATCAAAAATACTTAGGAATAAGGTTATACAAGATCTATAAATCAAAAACTACAAAATATCATAGGAAGATAAGACCTAAATAAATGGAAAGAACCTATGTTCATGGATTGGAACTCTTAATGTTATAAAGACGGCAATACTGCCCCATCTATCTACAGATTCAGTGCCATCCCTCTTAACATCCCAGATGCCATTTTTTTAAAGAAATTGGCAAGCAGATCTTAAAATTCATAATAAAATGCAATAGATACAGAATAGTCAAAATCATCTTGAAAGAGAAGAACAAAACATGTGCTTTCCTACTTTCTCAAGTACAATGAAGAGAAAAAGAATAAGTCAAGCTCTGTCTTTAAGAAGCCAAAAGATAAACAAATATTGACAACAAAATATGCTGAAAAGAAATAGAATAGACCTGGTGGGAGTGAAGGGAAGGTAAACCTCAGGGACAGTTTCCTGGAAGAAAGAGACTATTCAGCCTTTTCCAGAATGAATAGGGCATTGCAAGACACCCAGAACTCACGGCCTCCTCCATCAGGAAGACCAAAACAACAGGTAGACAGCTACACTCTGAGGTGATGACCCTGGGAGAGCACTGAAATTCAGCAAGGAGAGACCAGGACTTGTAAGGCCCAGAACCCCGAAACAGCAGCATAGAAAGAGGAGCACAGCACACCTGCATGGACCAGGGAAGGGACGCCCCCTCAGCAGGGGTGAGGGTGAACTGAAGAGCCCGCAAGCCCCGTCAGCACAGCCACCAGCAATCTAGCCATCGGAAGGTTCTACAGGCATCACGGGCTTGCAGATCAGTTAGGGGAGTGATCCAAAATCTGCCCTATAGCTTTCATTTGGACAAGGAACTGACAGCGTCTTCCCCATCAAATCCCAGGGTCCAGGCTGCTAGACTAGACACCATCTTAAGAAGGGAATTATTGTCAGAATTCATACTGCCCTAAAGGTAAGGAACCTTTGCATATCCCGATCCCTGGGACCCCTCCGACATGCCTGCATACTAGCACAAGGGACTGCAACCTCACAGATTCGATTAGATCCAGTCAAGCAAATGTGACTCCAGCACCCAAGCCCATGCCACGTGGGGGTAGGTGTTCTAGCACAGAGGGGGAAACAAAGGCATAGGCAGCCCATGGGACTGAGAACAGGCAAGCTTCTATAGTCTCTCCCCACTCAATGAGGTAGTAACTGAAAAGTCCCCTAAATCTGGAAAGGTATGGACATCCAGGCACGAATTGAACCATGAATATAAAGAGTGAACAGAACAGTAATGAGTGATGAAATTGATTCAGAAATTAAAAGAACCCCATAAAGAAGAGTCCAGGACCAGATTCCTTCACTGCTGAAAATTATACCAGACTTTTAAGAGCTGATATCTTTTTTTTTTTTTTTAGAGAGAGTGGGAGAGATAGAATTTTTTAATATTTATTTTTTAGTTCTCGGCGGACACAACATCTTTGTTTGTATGTGGTGCTGAGGATCGAACCCGGGCCGCACGCATGCCAGGCGAGCGCGCTACCGCTTGAGCCACATCCCCAGCCCAAGAGCTGATATCAATACATCTCAAACTATTCCAAAAAAAATTGAAAGTGAGAGAATTCTTCCAAACTCATTTCATGAGGCCAGTATAGCCTGATACTGATATCAAACAAGGACACACACACACACACACACACACAACAATAACGACAACAACAAACAATCAAAACTACAGGTCAATACTTCTAATGAACATAAATGCAAAAATTCTCAATAAAACACTAGCAATTTGAATCCAGTGGCACATCAAAAAGATCATTCATCATGATCAAGTGAAATTTATCCCAGGGATGCAAGGATGATTCAACACATATAAGTCAATAAGTGTAATACATCACATCAACAAAACGAAGGATAAAAATCACTAAAAATAGATGCAGAAAAAGCACTCGATAAACATTCAACATCATGACAAAAACTCTTGACAAAGGTATAGAAGGAAGGCATCTCGTAATAATGGTCATGTGTAACAAACTCAGCGCCAGCATGCTGAGGGGAGCAGCTAGGAATAGTTCCTCTAAGGTCTGGATGAGGCAAGGACACCACTCCCATTGCTCACTCCCATCATGCTGGAATGACTAGCAGAGCAATCAGGCAATCAGAAGAAAGGGAAGACATGCAAACAGGAGGGAGGAAGTCAGATGGTCCCGGTTTGTAGAACACATGTGTGCGCGCACACACACACACACACACACACACACACCCCTAAGAATTCCATCAAAAGACTGTTAGAACTGAAAGATGAACTCAGTAAAGTTGCAGGATGCAATATCAGAAGCACATGGGCTGAAGTTGTGGCTCAATGGTAGAACACTTGTCTACCCTGTGTGAAGCAGTGGGTTGGATCCCCAGCACCACATTAAAAAAAACAACTAAATAAACAAAATAAAGGTATTGTGTTCATCTGCAATAAAAAAAAGCACACAAAAATCAGAAGCATTTTTATACACCAATTTCTAAAAAAGAAATCATGAAAGGAATTTCATTCACAATAGCTACAAAAAGTGCCCAGAAATAAATTCAACCAAGGAAGTAAAAGATGTCTACAATGAAATTTAAAACTATGATAAAAGAAAGAGAACACACACACACACACACACACACAAATAGAAGCTATCAGTATCATACTACCTTACTTTAAAATATGCCACAAAGCTACAATAATCAAAACAGCATAATATTGGCATAAAAAGAGAAGCACAGACCAATAGAAAAGAATAGAGTAGTCCATGTATTTATATCCAACTGATTTGCCACAAAGATACAGAAAATACACATTGGAGAAAAGATAGTCTCTTCAGAGATGGTGCTGGGAAAACTGGATATGCACATGCTAAAGACTGAAACTTGACCCTTCTCTCACTCTATACAAAAATAAACTCAGAGTAGATCAGGACTAAAGGTAAGACACAAAACTGAAATTACTAAAGAAAACATAGGGGAAACACTTCAAGTCATTCATATAAGCAATGATTATTTGGATAAAACCCCAAAAGCACAGGAAACAAAACAGCCGTAGTAAATGAGATTATGTCAAACTAAGAAGCTTTTACACAGCACAGAAACAATCAGAGAGTGAAGAGAAAACTGCAGAATGGGAGGAAAGTTTGTAAGCTATTCATCTGACAAAGGGTTAATATCAAGAATACATTTAAAAACTTTTAAAAATGATGATAATCCAATTAAAAATAGGCAAAGGATATGAATAATCACTTCTCAAAAAAAGTTCAAATGGCTAACAAATTTGGGAAGGAAATGTTCAAGTTCATTAGCTGTCAAAGAAAGGCTAGTCAAAACCACCATGAATATCGTCTTGCTCCAGTTTGAATGGCATTTGCAAAGTCAAAAAACAATAAATACAACAAGGATGTAGAGAAGAGGGCATGTTTATACACCATTGTTGGGAATGTAAACTAGCCATTATGGAGAACAGTAAGTGCGTTTCTCAGAAAACCAAAAATGGAACCACCAAATGATCCAGTTATCCCTCTTCTGAGTTCATATCCAAAAGAAAGGATATCAGCACACCAAAGAGACACCTCACCCATGCTTATTGCTGCACTGTTCACAATAGCTATGATAGGAATCCACCTTGATGTCCATAAAGGATGAAAAGATAAAGAAAAGGTGGTACTTATCCATCGTGGAAAATCATTCTGCAATTTACAGCAAAATGTATGAAAGTGGAATTCTTTCTGTTCAGTGAAGTGAATCAGACAGACAAGTTGTCTCTTGTATATGGGTGTTTTTAAAACATTGATTGGAATATATAATAGAAATTACTAGAGGGCAAAAGGTAGGGGAACAGTGAGAGGTTGGATAACAGATACCAAAACACAGAAGTAATAAGCTCCAGTGTTCTCCAGCACAGTCGGGTGCCTGTAACAACCACTAGAAGAGAGAAGCTGGAAGGTTCCAAAGTCAATAAAGAGAAGGGACAGTTAATTACCCTGATCTGATCAGTATCTGTTGTCTACATGTATTGAAATATCACGCTGTACTACATAAATAAGTACTATTATTAGGCGTTAAGAAGAGGGAAATGTTAACTACACTGATTTGATCACTACACACTATATACACATATTGAATTATTACACCTGACCCATAAATTTGTACAGTTAAAATGAAAGAAAATCAATATGGGTGGAAGAATAAATAGGAGTGTCCCCACCCCCGCCAGATACTTTCTTTTCAGAAACAAACATCCTGTCCTTGGCAGCTTTGTTCTGGCATAACCCCTACAGCCCACTTCACACATGCAATACCCAGCTGGACTTAAAGGCTTTACAACAGGGGTCATGCTATTCAGGAGGGGTAGAGTTGCCTGCATCTTTCCTTCAAGCAGAGACAACTATAGATGAAATTTTAGAAAATGACCAAATCTATCTTTGGCATATTCTCTACCCTTTTATGTAGAATTATCTAGAAACTGTCCTTTGGTTCTCACTAAAGCCTTTACTGCCCACCCCCCATCCTCCCCGCAGCTAATGAGATAGGAGAACAATCTAACTCAATACAGTAGGTGATGGCCTTTGTGTACACTGATATTCTGATTTTTGCTACTTTCAAGTACCTCTAGAGGTTCTTGACACATTGTAATTTGCAACTGTGTCACAAGTTTGAATCTCAATTCCCATAGTGCAGGTCACTCAGTGAGGAGGCCAGCTGAACACCAGCACCCACGTCTTGTGATGATCATATACTGTCAGAGCTACAATCCCTTTGGAGAAATATTGAAAAAGTCATAACTAGTGTTAGTCATAAACTTGAAAAAAACTCAAGATGATTTTAACCAGTAATTCTGTAAATTTACATTGGATTTAGCCTGTATGAAGGGCACACATAAAAATTTCAAGTATGCTTCAAAGTGGGCTCATTTCTTCACTAATGTGGTCAAAAAATGTCTTGAGTGGCAGTTTGGGAGATGGAAATACAAAAATAGAGATGGGGTCTCTGTCCCCTGAAGCTGAAATTCTATCAGAGTAGCCAGACAATAAGCACATAAATACAATAAAACTTTGATGAGCATCTGATAGAGGAAGCCCTCAGAACAAAAGGCAGAGAATTACCAAGAGTGGTCCAGGAGCCAGTGGCCTCTGTGAGAAAGGGGCCCTGAGACCTGAAGAATGCACCATAGTGGTCTGAACAGATTTTGAAGCCTTACTCATCTTGAGGAATCTAACTTCCAAGTCTCAGAACCTGGAAAGAATAAAGACCCTATGACTTGAGGACAGGGTGAGACCCTCTGAAGGGATGCATAAATGACTTTGATGTCAAATACAACTTGAGTTTGCTAAAGTGAGACATCATTTATTTCAATCAGAACGTAGTTCTGCCAGTGTTCTAAGTGGGACTTTCTTCCTCAGGTACAACCAGGAACTGTGATCAATCCAGATTATCTGAAACTATCCTTTGAGAATTTTGTGAGCCAAAGGTAAGCCAAAGATTGGCCTTGGGATATGGCTTAGTTCTGGATTATTTGTTCGGGATACAGGATTGTGGATTGAGGAGCAGAGTAATCAGATGTTTAGGGAATGGTTTCATTTTCTTGTTAAACCAGACTAAATAACATTATTTCACCTTTTATTTGTTCTTGGACAATTACTGAACTATTGTGGGGAAAGTATGATCTTTCTTTATACCTTCACAAGAAAAGCATAAAGGATAGGAGAGTCCTTTGAGAACTGAACTGAGAATCCATCTAGAAAGAAAATCACAGGATTGACGTGATTTCTTGAGGGGATGCCAAAAAAGAGGCCCAGAGACTCAATATAAAGTCAAAGGACTTTATATTGAGGCAGAACTCAATATAAAGCCTCCAAGTAGATGGTACATCTGATTCAGAAGATATGGGAGATGACGCACAACCTGTCCCGAGTCTGCCACTTTTTAGTAACTACAATCCCTTATGTCTGTTTGGTTGTTATTTGGTGATTTCTTAACACCACCAAATGGAACAAAAATGACATCCAGTCAAAATTCTAGTTTGTTAGTTAAAAAAGGGGGGGGTTGTATTTAATTATTGGACAATGAAGAAGGATTCAGTTATTTTACTGAAAAACTTGTCTGTTGACTGCCATGAGGTAGAGAGTTGAAAGCAAAAAGAGAGCTCCCCTACGTTAAAACAAATGGAAAGCTATCTACGCTATATGGCAATATTTATTTCTCCCCTATACTGAGACATAGAAGGTTCTAACCAAAACTCTCTCTCTTTAAGGATAAATTAGTGATCTGTAAGTTTGTTATTTTTTTCTCTGGAATTAGAGGATTCTTTCCTTAGTCCTATTTTCAGATCATATGAGTTTTGACAGTGGAATAAAATATTTTTAAATGAAAGTTTTCTCAAAACCCATGAAAATATCACTAAGTAAAAGACCTTGAGAATGGGTGTTCTTCACCGAGTTATCTCACTGCTGCAAAGTGGTCTGATCACCAGGCTAACAGGTGCTGGGGTCCAGAGATCATCTGTTTTAAGATGTGCAAAGACAAATTCCCATTCCTCAAGCTCTGGCCAGTGGACTCATGTGCATTCTTGCTTCTTCCAATCAGAATGATGAATCTTCATCAATGCAGATCCCAGACTGAACCTAAATCTTCCCGTGAGAACATGGCAACAGGTTAGTCTCTTTTCAGAGAATTTGCAGGGTGAGATATACCATGCCCAGGGCGGTAGAGTGGAAGATTTAATTCCTAAGATAATTTCTAAATTTTCTGAACATTCTCTATCCCTTTCTCTGTCACACGTTGCCTTGTGACACACTGGGAGGATTTGGCCTCCTCCCTCGCACTCCACCCATCTGTCCCTTCCTAGACACCACCCGCCCCTCTCCACATCATGCTCTTTCCCACGCTGTCTCCACACCACACGCTCTGACCAGTTTCCATAGTTAGTTCTATAGTGAGTCCCTCCATGGCAATCCCAAAGGTACTAGTCTAACTGTACAGGGGACTACATCTCCACACCCCTGGAATGGCCCCTCAAAGGCCCTGCAAATTTTGTCCACAGCCTCCCTAAAACACCCACCTTCTCCCCGAGCTCCCCAGTGCTCCCCAGTGTTCACTTATTGTTAACAGAAACAAGGGTGGTGTCTCACTCTCAGGCTTCAGACCTAAGACTCATCCTTTGGAGAAACCAGCCATGGGTTGGTGAAGGTAGGAGTGGGCTGTTCTTGGGGACAGCATATTTCAAGGGTATGGAGTAGCCCAAGCTCTCTATTCCCAAATGAGCTCCCAAATTAATTTACTCCCAAATTAACTGAAGCCACCTGAAGCTGCTCTACATTCAACACAGGCAGTAAAGAGAACTACGATGACTTTATGTAGAGGAGAAAGTCTAAGCTCTGTCCTGGGAGGTTCCCAGGGATTCAGAGGCAGAACTGAACTGAGAATCCATCTAGAAAGAAAATCACAGGATTGACATGATTTCTTGAGGGGATGCCAAAAAAGAGGCCCAGAGACCCAAGTAAGAGCTGACGTGTGTGGAGCAGTTCACTGCCTTCTAGCACAGAGCAGGGCTGCCAAGTCCCTCTGAACCACTTCTTAGGTATTCAGAAATGTTGGCTGAGTTCCTGGCTCTTATGTGGCCAAAGTGGAATCAAGAGCCTAGAACTGAGAACATCCACGCAATGGAAGCTCCCCACTCGGCTGTTATCTGGACTGTGACCACCTCGTAAAGAAGACACCAGGTGATAAGCGTGCACAGCTAGCTAGAGTAGCTTTCAGGGTTATCTGTGTCAGTCACACCCTCACTCAGGGGTTCCCTTGGTCCTGGATTTTTTCAGACCTGCCTTATAAAGGACTAAATCACACACACACACACACACACACACACACACACACATACACATACCTGTCCTTCCGTCAGCAAGAACATTTATTTTCTGACCTTAGAGGACAGTGTAACAAGATGCTTTTCATTAATTCCTTAGCCCTGAGGGTGAACTTCAATTAGCAATAGAGGAGCTAGCCGTGGAGTGGCTCTTGCCCACAGAGTGCAACGTAGGATAGCAACCTGGGAGGTGGAGCTGCAGGAACAGTGGTTGCACAATTGACTAGAAGCTGAAGCTTGTGGACCTCCTGTTGGCTCTAGTTGTGTGGGGGTTTGGTCTCCATGTTTCTACTTTCAAAACCAGAGAAGCTTCTTGTCACAGGAGAGCTAGACAACACCAGAAACCTTCACCTTTAACCAGCCCAGAAAGACTGCTGGCACTGCCCAGGCCCACAGCGTTGTTCAGCTTGGACGTCAGTATTACAGCACCACCAGTCAGTATTACAGCCTGTTGCCGGAGCTGTCACCCACCTGGCTGTGCTCCCTGGGCACATGCTATGGACACTGAGCGGCCAGCTCGTCCAGTGCACAGTATGCCAGCGATTGTCTAACTCGTTTTTTCTGGATCACCTAACTTTATATATTACTAGTACTTCTTAATGAGAACTAAATAAATTGAAAGAACATATCTCAAAAGTGCTGTGGGTTTTCTTCTGGGTGCATTTTTCTCTGGCTCAACTCCAGAGTCTCATGACACCACAGGCTCTTGCTCTTTATAAACATCGGCATTGATGTCAACCGCCTGATTTACACCTACCATCTGGCACAGTAGTGTGATATGATACAAAGAGCACTAAGTTAGAATTAAGATCTGGTCCTTAGCCCATCTGTGCCTGTCCCCCTGGACCACTGTGTCCTCTTCACTCACTTCATGAGACTAAACTGGATTCTAGATTTGTGACCCTATGCTATGTCTAGCTCTCATCTGGCTTGACCAAGGAGCTTGTTCCAGAGAATTCAGGACTCCAATTCTCAGGGTCATTCAAGGATTCCCAAAGGGAAGGTGTTATTTCCCACATTATTGTACTTTCCTTCAGGCAATGTGTCTTCTGCAGAAGTTGAATGCTAACCAACTTTTCACAAAGGAAATCATATTTGGAGAAGAGGTCAGGATGATAAGGATTTTAAAGATCTCTAAAAATAAATTATGCCAAAAACGGAGTCTCCTTTGGAATTGCAGAATGCTTTCTTTCCGTGCTATAGCTTTTTGTAAGATCATGGTTATTTTTTCAGAGAACAGAACTATGCTTGTGTCCCTGAAAAGTCTCCTGAGAATCAAAAGCTCTTTTCCCTTTGACTAATATTATAGCTCCAGATATGTTTTATCTTCATTTTTAATTTAATTGGCAATGATTCCTAACGCTTGGGTTTTATTTCTAGGTACTACTTTTGGCCTCTTTGACAAGATCTGTAAAAGCTTAAATGTTGGGGATAAGATGGTTCCATTAAAAAACAGACTCAATTCAAAACATATAAGTTTTGAATCTGTCTCATAAGGTGGGAGAAGTGCTTGGTGATTATTCTGAGTTTCCTTAATAGGGAATCTAAGCAGCCCTGTTCTTCCCCCTCCTCGCTCCAACCTCCAGAGAGCGTTCCCTGCAAACTGCCCATTCTGGGCCCCAGGACAGCTGTCTTCTACGGTATGCTGTCAGATGCCTACAAAGCTCTTGAGAAGAATCCACATTCTTTCATGTCCAGAAAGGACCCTGGGGCAAGACAATGACACAGTGAGTGGGGGGAGTCCTGACCTCAACTCAGAGAAATAACCTTGCCCAGCCAGTCTCCCACAGTGTTCCTCTCCCATGATTCCCTCCTACCTCTAAAAAAAGTGACTTAGCTTTTCCTTCCTAAGAGTTGCTGGTGTCCAGCTCTGGCCACATTCTCACTCATTTCTCCTAAAGATAAAACAGTTGGATGTGTATGATTATAAAGATTCATCGATTGCAATAGAACTTGGTAAGGATCTCTCTTTTTATTTGGTTTAGATCTTATCCATGTTGTGACAAATGACATCCTGGTGTTTCTAAGACATAGATTTTCTATGGAAGTTCCTTTGCCCCTTTCTTCAGGTCAGAGGCCCCTTAAGAATTTATACTATTAAGACAAAGGAGAGAAAGGGAAGTCGTCCTTCTGTCCTTATTTCTGTCAGTTAAGTCTGGTAGATGACTGTGGATACTATGAGGCAGTGACTGGAGAATGGCAAGTGATTGGCAGTTGTGGCCCTTGCTGGGGGAACCACGCCTCGCCTGGCCCTCCTCACATCACCTGCAGCGCTGCAGAGATCAGCTGTTCACCTGTTCTTTGGGCCGTCAAGTCCACCCCAACGGCTGTGGTTTATGGTTTGGTTACTTTGGGGATGTGAGTCTCTACATCTGTCCTGGTCACTGTGTCTGCAGTGTCAGAGAGCAAAAGAAAGTCTAGGCTTACAAATTTTATGTGTTCCCTGCCCAGCTTCAGGACGTTCCTGTAAAAAAGGTCTCTTCTGTTCCTTAGGAGGCAACGGCCTTGTGAAATTCCAAATCCTGACTAACTGGACCAACATGTGAGAACCAACTTCTGTGCCAACTGTACTTGAAGAATGGACTTCAGAAATCCCAAACAAATGACCTCACGCCTAAACTGACCTCAATGCTTGCACAAAAACAAACCAACCAAAACAGAAACTTGTTTTATTCCCTGTATTCCTTGTGTGCCGATACTTGCTTTCAGTTCAGCTGGTGTCCATAACCGGGCCCACAGATTCTGGTATCATTACAGATCACCAGATACACAGCCCAGCTAGCAGTACTTCTTTTGTTTTTTGAGAATTCTTTTCCTTTGTTTTTATAAATCAATATATCCAGTGAAGGAATTTAGAGTATGGACCCATGCATTAATGAAAATATGTGCCTCAGATACAATTATTTAGAGCTTTTGCAGTAAGCTGAATGTTATGTGCATAGTGAGATAAAATGCTTCCTAAATCTCACTGTGATTGTTGCATCTAGAGCACCAGCAAACTTCCAACATCCCATCAAAAAGAATAATGTCCTGGTGTTCTCTAGTATGAAGACAGAGTATTATAGTTAGATATTAAATGTCTCCCAAAGCACATGTATGAAGTCTTGGTGACCAGCCTGTGGCACTATTGGGACATGAGGAGACGCTCCAGCCTTTAGGACTTGGAGTTGAGTAGGAAGAAGTTAGGCCATCACACTTTACTGCAAGAATGGACAGAAATGCTGGACTTGGGGAAAGCCATGCTGCAGCTTTCAGAAAAAGAAGACAGGAGGGAGGGAGGTTCAGGGGAAGCCTGCTGGGGGCCTGTTGGCTCCGGGGCTAGTGACATTCCACTCTGGAGCTGCCCATTATCCAGAATATGTCGAGAAACTGCACAACTCCATGTAACCTAAGTGTGCTAAGTTTGACAGAACCATTTCCTCCTAAGGAATGTCCTGTTCATAATGTCTTATTGAGGTGAAGCTACTCAGGTTGAGGGAGGTCTTAGGGGTGAGAAGGGCCTTGCCCAGAAGTATATAAGATTGACAAGGGGAAGAAGCAGCTTGGGCCATGTTTCTATGAATAAACCTATAACAAATTCCTTAAGAATCAAGTTAATTTAGAAACTTTAGGAATGGATAACATTAAACTAACCCCTAGAGAAAACTGGGATGACGAATCCTGTTTCAACCATGTTCCTCTCAAAGCCATCTTAATTTGGCACTTTATTAAATATCATCCCTATTTCATGCATGTTAACTTTTGAGAAAAAAAAATAACTTAGAAACAAAGAACAAAAACACCAAGAAGGATAGAGAGGCCATCATCAAGGGTTTTGTGCAAGAGGCACTAGTCCCACACAGGCAGGGCCGTAGTACCCTGACACCAATCCCTGTAGAAGACACGCAGCTTCTACTTGAGAGACATTTCAAAGGAAGAATAGTCAATTCCTAGACCTAGAAGCAATATGAAAAAATACAAACTGAGATCCCTAAATGTGAGACTGTGAGGCTACAGAGGGCTTGTTTAGGAGGTATTAGGATTCAGCCTTTAAGGAGGGGATTTCACTGCTCGTGAGTTACAAAATGAACACCAGTGACTACAGAGATAACACTTTCTATATCACTAACTGTCCAGCTCTCTGGACAGGAACAAAAAAGCAATTGTGTAACATTATCAGGAAAAATGATCAGAGGAGAAATAGCGGTATTTATCCACACAGAATGCTTTCTCTTGTTCTTTGCAAAGCCTTCAACAGGACATTTAACTACCTGGCCAAGGGAGTGCAGAAAAGCAAAATAGGCTCCAGCGTGTGTCTGCTATTTCAAGGAAAACGTCTCCCTAAACCTCTTGGGGTCATCCCTGACTTAATCATGAATAGGGATTATCCTGTGGGATGTCACATAGCCAGAAAGTCAGGAAACCCTTATTTCCTTGTTTCTCATCTTGAGAAAAATGCATAAAGAGGAAGATGAACATAAAAACAAGAGATTTTTGTAACACTAGTTTGCTCTACAGAGTGACACTAAATGGCTGGAGGACAGAAATTGGCAGAGAGGATTTTGCAGAATGTTCCCTTATTTGCTCTTTGAATTCTGAACTATTTGAATGTTTTACTGACCCAAACACAGAACAGGATGAAAAAAAAAAAAACTTTTTAAAGTTGCCAGAAAGCTAATCTAGCTTTGGAATTGGAAACCCAATAAACTATCAACGTAACCGTCTTCCTGACACTCAAACAACATGGTCCTTGACTACTACAAAGTTCAAGCAAATTTCCAGTTCCAAGAATACATTTTATCTCTGGCCCTTTGAAGTTTTGCCACCTAAATGCTAGCACCCACTCCTAGAAACAAATATTTACTGCTTTTGTAATATTTTACACTTTCAAAGCACTTTCTCTTTCTTTCCCTCTCTCTTTTCTCCAAATGTAGCATTGTTCTCCTGTCATTAAATGATAGCAACAATGTTTTATAGGATGCTTTCCATTTGACACATGCAATCCTTCCCAGGGGCACTTCTACAAAAATTCTTCATTTGATTGATACAGGCACAGCTGTTTCCTTTTAATGGCCCTGCCTGTGTGGGACTAGCGCCTCTTGCACAAAACCCTTGATGATGGCCTCTCATATCCTTCTTGGTGTTTTTGTTCTTTGGTTCTTTGGCCATTGATGATATAGCTCCTCTCATCCTCTTTGAACCCAACCCAGTGTGACAGCTAGAATGAAATCTGAAACTCCAGATGTAGCCTGGCCAGATGTGGCCATGGGACTCTCAACCTCCAGGTCCTGGATCCCCCACTGCCTGGAACACAGGCTGAAGTGGCACTCTTTCCCAGCAGCCAAGTCCCATCCATTGTCCCACACTGACCTGCCACCAACTAAGATTTTTTATTATTCTAGTGAGAATTTCCTTTCTGACAGCTTCCCTCCTACTGCTAAAATTTTTTGAAAACCCTATGCATGGCCATGTATTTCTTTTAGGGTTCTCTAGCTGCATTCCAGATAGCCACCGTCTTTCTGAATCTAGATCCTGACTCACTAGTCCTTCCATGTTCAATCATCTGGTCTTCTTTCTCTCCGTCTTTGATACAAGTTGTTGGAAAGAATGGGGTCAGGAAGCACACTCCATGGCTCAACTCCAGAATCTCCTCTTTAGAGCAAGGATTCCAAAAGATCTCATCTTTAAAATATATTATGAAAACATTTACATATACAGGGAAGTAGAAAAAATAGCACATGTGACCTTCATCTCCACTCTACTGGGAAGTTACCTCATCTCTGTAGCTTCTATGGGTAGCTTCTGAATGTGTAGCTGGGGCGTCTACCACTACCTTACTCTGCCTTTACTCTGTGAAGACCCACTTCTTGGGAACAATATAATATCTAAGACTTTATATTGACCAGTCACTTCATCCCTATTAAAGTTCAAAGTAGCAATTCCCACCTTGAGGTCCTCTACCTTCTGAGGGATACAGCTGGCCACAAACCCAACAAAGATGAGATTCTTTGTGTTGGGGTTTCCCAGGCTGGGAAATACCACATGCTGCTGCAGGCAGAACCTCTGTTCTCTCAGCCTGTCAGCTACTCGGGTTCATTGGAATGTGTCGTGTCTTTGCAATGAGAATTCAAGGAGGGGCTGGAGGGAACTGGGTGCTGGCAAATTATCACCCTGAGAATAAACAAGTCTTGGGAGATAGGGTGGAGGACAGGCCAGTGATCATGCCCACACCCAGTGCAGGCGGTGGAAATGGGGTTCCCCTCCGCGGAATGGGCTGGCTGAGAAATAAAAGCTAGGAAAAATAGAATGCTGAATAAAACCACAGGACACAGAAAATAGTTTCAAAAGTGGGGACAGGAAGGGCAAGTCCATCAGACAGATCCAGCTTCTAGACTCTGGCAAAATGGAGTCCAAGTCTGCTTTATTTATATCAGGAAACATCAAAGGCCTTCCATACAATATTCTTCACCCAAAAAGGTTAAAGGTGAGCTGTTCAGAGCCCATCTCTGTAGCTACTATGAGGTATCTTCCCAGTAGAGTGGAGATGAAGGTCACATTCTTTGGGCAATCTATTGCTAAGGGAGAGCCACAGATAGTTTGCAATGCAAAATCTAAATCTCCCTGGCTACCATGTTGAGAGAAGATCCTCATGTAATTCATGGGTGGCTTCCCACAGTAGCCCTCAATTCTGGAGCTCTGATAAGCACCTGGAACTCAAAGTAGAGAAGCATATGTGGAACAGGGGTACTTGGAATCATCAAGGGCAGGAGTTCATATTGGACATCAGGTAGACCATTAGACTAGAATCAACCAGGTGATTTATTAAGGACTGACAAGTTAAAAATAAGTTTGAAATCATTTTAAAAATCAGAAATGATTTTAAAGTTCTATTTTTAGAAGGAGTTCAGGATTAGCAAGAAGCTATCTCAGCCAGACTGGACATTTGCTCTCATTCATTCAGTCGATATTTGAGCTCCTCATATATATCAGTTACCATGATTTCTGGTGGGATTAAAAAGGTGAGTTCTACATGAAACTTCTCCACAGGTGCTTGCAGTCTAATGACAGAGACAGACAATGCCATATGATAAGTGCCATATGATAAGTGTCATAGCAGGGGTATGTGCACATGCTTTGGGAATCCTCCCCAGTATGACAGAAACTTCACAACCAGCACTTACCTCATGAAGGAGTTTCCATCTAGTTTCCCAGGCCAGCACCAGTGGGACGGGGACTTCCAGGAAGAGGAGGCAGATCACGCAATCTCCTCTTTTTATGTCAAGATCCAAAGCACTGATCTAAAATGATATATCCAGGGCAGAGGGCCTAGAAACTGACTCCATTTCTATGAGTTGCTTGTTAGATAAGAAGTTTTGTAAAATATTTTTGTGGTTTCAGAATCCCATTGACAGGGCTGGGGATGTGGCTCAAGCGGTAGCGCGCTCGCCTGGCATGCGCGGGGCGCTGGGTTCGATCCTCAGGACCACATACAAAAAAAATAAAGATGTTGTGTCCACCAAAAACTAACAAATAAATATTAAAAAATTCTCTCTCTCTCTCTCTCTCTCTTAAAAAAAAAGAATAAAATCCCATCGACAGCATTTTAAACGTGCGTCTGTTCCCGTGACCTGGAACCTCTCTGCTCACTCCACACTGGCTCTTTCCCTGGCTTCAGCTCGGCCACACCAGAGGCTGCAGCAAC